TTAAAAAGGGCTATGCAAAGTGAATAGATATGAATGTAATGAATATCTATGAACTGAGCTAGTCTGGCATAGAAAGCCAAATAGCATAACAATTTACTATGTGAGATTTGGACTAAAAACATTTTGGATTTATAATACAAAAAATACAACACAAATACAAACCAATCGTACTTTGAACTATGACACTAATCAATTTTTGGACTATATTAAAAAAAAATTTTTATTCGATTTGGCCTTTTTAGAACCTAAAAACCAAACCCTGAAAAAAATACAATGTGGGTAACAAAAAAGTGCAGCAGAACATACATTTTTTCCCTACTACAAATTAACAGGCACATCAAAGTTTCATTTGATAAATGAATTCTTTTGTTGGTTTTATCAATAAAATCACAATTAAATAATATGTAATAATGATAATTTTTTACATTGCCCTATAAAAAATTTTGTCAGAAAATGTATGGTTTTTCGTGCACTTTGTATGAAATATTATTATTGCCGATTTCTCACATTTATGGATTGATCGTAGGTTATCACATGACCTGATAAATTACTGAAAATCGCGTGATCGAAAAATTATTGAATTTTTGATCGAGAAATTTTTTCTCAAATTTGTAGTAAGTTGCGGGATTAGGTGCCTTGCACTATAAATAAAAAATTTATGCATATTAATATGCAATAAATCAATAATTATTATTATTATTTGTCAACCACATCCAAATACAATACAATTTCTTAAATAGGAATAAACACACTGGTCTTGGGGAAATTCTTGCTCCTAGTAAAAAAAAAATGAATGAAGGTATTTTTTCTTACACAGAAAATAACTATTTTAAAAATATGTAGTACTTTTTACATCATGATTTAATATTTTGCTTTATAATAAAATAATAGCTAAATTCTATAAAGGTAAATAAATATTTTACAACACAAAATAAACATCATCTAATTAATTAATTTGTTTTTTTATTTCATAGAGCGTAAGTATTATATTATAATTTAACTTTTACAACACAAAATAAACATATCAAATTAAATAATTTATTTTTTTATTTCTTTATAATAACCAGTTGGTAAGTATTATATTATAATTTAACTTTTTCAATTTGTAGATCTTTCTTAATTTAGTAATTTTTTATTTACAACAATTTATTTAAATTATATTGTTAATTTCATCATAAACCATATCAGCCAGCAGTGTTGGAAATTCAGGGTGCGTGCGCAGCATGTTACACCAAAATTGTGAAATATTTTATGTGCAAATTATAATACGTAGTACTGTTGTATGTGAAATTGAATTATGTGAAATTGAAATATTATGGAGTGGGGTGAAATTCTGATTGGCTAATTTGAATTTCACATATGTGAATTGCAAATTCACATACAACAGTACCAAATAAAAACATTTAATATAAAAATAAACTTTGTGAAATATTACTAACAGAGTTGAGATTTTTTTGTTTACTTCAACATCAACATCAACATTATCATCAACAGTATCAACATTAGCAATATTATCAACATTATCATCAACATCAACATC